CCGAAAAACGCTTTTTCTGTCAAAGGTTTCAGTAGGAGACGGAGTGACTTGGAATTAATTCGAGTTGCTACAACAGAAACTGCTGTAAGGATATCAATAGCCAGCTCTCTTGATGGTTGTTTAGAAGAAGTTGAAGTGGGCTTGAGACCTAGGCATGCGTCAATACCAATTTACCATCGAAGCGAATCATAGCGGGATTGCTTGTTGCTCTGGTAAAATTGAACCTTTTGTTCCTCACTGTACCATATTCCAAGCAGTTACCTCATAAAAAGTAATTTTTTTGAGTTTCTCGTTGAATAAGGCACTTGTTTCGAAACGGACCACTAGCACCCGTGCTAAGATTCAACGGTACCCGGCCTAGAACTCCCGTTATTACTAAGAGCTTGCAAGACAGCCAGATTTTCAGCTTTTGTCTCTCTATCAAACGATCGAAAGTAGAAATCTCCGTTTCCGTTTTAGAAGCCTACTATTTCTTCGGCAAATACCTAACCCTCCGTCTACCGCACTAGAAAAGTAACTTCCGAATTCCACAATGAATACCAACTAAACGTGCCTTCTTTAGTTGTTGGAAAAATGCCTTACATGTTTATTCCTCTAACAAAACAATTTATGTATTATTTATGTGGATGTGAAGAGACTGTTCAGAGCTGCATCCGTTCTGCCGTATTTTCTCTGCTGTTTTTTGACTTTGCCAGTGACTACTATTCTTGCCTGTATTCAACAAAGGGTCCCACTCAGTCGAATTTTCATTTTTGTGTATGTTGTTTTTTGTTTTTCTTACTATTTTGGCGCAGTTCTGTTTTAGAAGGTGACACAAGTACAAACGAACGGGCTGTTAACTGGAGCTAAGCAGACCAAGAATGACATAGTTCAGTAATATCACCAATATGAGATACCCATTAGCGATTATCCGGGAAGTCTTAGTATATCCTTGGATCTCTACATGCAGCTAGCTATTCTTAGCACTATAACTACTTTGACCACTGCTGATGGTTAGCTTGTTGCCGGTCTTCGTTCGCCTCCTGAGGAAAATACCATCTCGACGGACCTCTGGCAAAAGCACATGACAGGGCTTCAGCAGTCTCAAGATATCCTTTCCTAGATATTCCGGGTACCGCTTTTTTTCCTAAAATTTTAAATAACCTCTGGGATTTCTTCTAACGGGCTATTGTAAAATTGTTTATTAAATTATTTCAAGCCGTAGTGTTGTTCAAAATTTCAAGTTGCTAGTTTTTGTTGTACAGCACATCATCAGCTGATTTCACGATTTGTTTAAAAAAAAGTTATCACAAACATAAAGTGCTATAATTACATGGCTTTACAGTTTGCTGTGAATTATGCGCTTTTTGCTACCAGGATGATGCATAAATGGAATAACAGTTTAAAAAAAATTCGGTAAATATCTGCTGGTTCTCATCATTCATCTGGTGGTTACATCGACTGCTCTGATGAAGCCAATTATGAATCGTTTAACTATGCTAGTAGGTTAACCATGCATGGCGTTGGTAACTATGCCTGATGCGGAGCTCATTTCATTAACATCGAATATCCAACTTTACCGGTTTTGTTATCGAAGTTTCATCGAGATCTCTGGAATTTCCGAAATGCTTTCGGAAAAGAAAAAAAGCAAATCTCAGTAGACTAAAACTTATTTGCAAAAAATTGTTCTGATTTGAGAATGAAACTTTAATCCTTATAATTTTTCTAGCTAGGCT